GAAACATTGCCTCATAAATCATGGAACCCGTTCCTCCTGGTGTTAAGAGATGAGAACTCATCAGTACAGGGAGCTGAATGTAGGTAACTCATGAATCATATGACATGACTGTATGTTTAGAACAGGTCAGATGAATTGTACCCTGAGAATGTCTATTTCTCTCTGCCGTTTGTAGCACAGAGTGACCATAGATATCTGATGGTGAGACAAATCACAAAACAAATAACTAAAATGTCACTTGTTATGAGGAGAAGGCCAATGCAATTATTATTTCCTGCTTAGATGATTAGTTCATATATGGCCCAGGTCCAAATGACTTGGACATGTCTTGAACATTACAAACTAGTTGCATTCATCCTGCAGAAACAACAGCACAGATCACACAGAATCACAGAATGGTAGGGGTTGGAAGGAACCTCTGGAGATCGTCTAGTCCAACCCTCCCGCCAAAGCAGGTTCACCTAGAGCAGGTTGCGCAGAACTGCATCCAGGTGGGTTTTGAACGTCTCCAGAGAAGGAGACTCCACAACCTCTCTAGGCAGCCTGTTCCAGTGCTCTGTCATCCTCACAGTAAAGAATTTTTTCTTCATGTTTAAGCGGAACCTCCTGTGTTCCAGCTTGTGGCCGTTGCCCCTTGTCATATCGCTGGCCACCACTGAAGAGTCTGGCCCCATCCTCTTGACACCTGCCCTTTAGATGTTTATAAACATTAATAAGGTTGCCAAGGTGCCAGATGAGGCTCTGCTGCCCAAGTATGGGCATCTTGGATTATTTTAGGCACTATGATGTCCTCTTGGCCTCCGTCTGTTATTCTAGAAGGACATGAGTCCTCTATAAGTCTTCTGTAAATCCTGGGTCATAATAGCCAGCCCTGGAAGGTTGTCTTGGATACCCTAAGGTGACTTAAATGGCAGTAGGTACCTACATTTATCAGCTGAATGTCATCAACACTGTCAAAGTTGACACCCCAAAGGCATAAGGATCATGGAAAGAAAATTAATGCCCTGTAAGGATAGGGAAACATTAATGGGGATGGTTCAGAGCTGGTATTTCTGTGTGCACAGAATCACAAAAAGTTTGAGGAAGGGACCTCTGGAGATCTTCTACCCAAATCCCTGCTCAGAGCAGGGTCAGCTAGAGCAGGTTGCCCAGGACTGTGTCCAGTTGGATTTTGAATATCTCTAAGAATTAAGACTCCACAACCTCTCTGGACAACTTGCTCCAGAGTTTGTCCACTTCAGCAATTAAAACATCTGTTCTTATATTAAAATGGAATTTCCTGTATTTCAATTTGTGCCCATTGCCTCTCCTCCTGCCACTGGGTATCACTGAGAAAAGTCTGGCTTTGGGGTTCTCTACCCCACCTCATCAGGTATTTATACACACTGATATGGAAAGGTAGCAAAATAAAAATGTTTTGTCTGGTGCCATGAACTTCTGCTTGCCATAGGGTACCAGAAGAACAACATCCACAGCATTTACAGGACCAAAGCTTAAACTGAGCTTGCCAAACAAGGAAAGTTCTGTACTATTCATTTACCATTTTACATCAAAATGGCTTAAACTGTTGTGCAAGAGGGTACTTTAGTGGTTTTAACACAAAGATGGCTACAAATTACAAAGACTAGTTCAGGCAAAGCTACTTTGGTGTCTGACTGTCATTTATTTTTTAATAAGATATTAAGGTGTAGTTAGATACTCAAACACCTTTCGAGAACCATGATCAGATTCTGCTTAAAAATTTGAAAGGTGATTGTGAAGTCCTCTGAAGAAAATATTAATGCAGCTAAAATATGTAGCAGTACTTTTAAACCAGAAACTATTCTTAGTCCTAGGTTCAGTACTAGAGTCAGCACACAAAAACCTCTAAATATTGTGCAAACTTGCACGTACCTAGAATGTGACTGCTTTCCTGAATACATGTGCTAGATACAAAAAAGCAAGATTAAACCAACATACAGGGTGCATTTTTTCAAACAACATTTGTCTTATATTGATTTCTACAGTTGCAAAACATAGTTACTGGTCAGTTGAAAATGCTTTCTGCAACAGTGGCCTATTGCAAATCATAATTTCTCTGTCATTAAGTAAAGTATAGCTATGGAATACATATTCCAGGATGTTCTAGGCCAGTAAAACATAGCTCTCATGCTGAATTATTACATTAGATTGTGAGCTGCATTGATAGATATTGCCAAAATGCTTTTCTAAGCATCTACATTTTTAATATTTGCTATAATTGAAGAATATAAAATAATTATTTTAGAATCTTGTTGAGAATCAAGTAATAATCTTTTTTTTCTACATAAAATTTAAGTTAAAACCAAAACTGGATACATTTTTCAGCAAATGAAAAACTGATGCATTTGGAAAATGGAAATCAAAACACAACATCAAGTCCTTTATTGTGGTGTCTTAGAAAATAGTGATGATTGTTCAAATTATTACTGTGCCCTTCAGATAGATGTCTGAACTGCTTATTTTAGGACAGGTGGCTAAACAGCTTCAAGCAGAAAAGGAAGAGAGAGATTACTGTTGCTGCAGAGCTTGGCAGATACTAAAATTCTCTCTGTGTTATTTAGAAGGGCTAGGCACAGTATTTGAATCATTTGGTGTCTTTAATTTGGAGGTCAGGTGGGCTGCAGTGCATTTACTTGATGCTTCAGCTATTTTGGTTCTGTGTGAAAAGCAGCAGCATGGGACCTGCATACAGAGTGTGGGATTACATTGCTCCCAGCCTGGAGTGTCTCTGAATACTGGTATGGGGGAGAAACTGGTATCTTGCCATTACAGATGCAAGATTTTTTTCTTTTCCTGTAGTGAGGTAGGAGCAGAGTTAATCAACAGCAATCACAAAAGGCAAAATTATGAGATTTTTTCACATTTGACATAGAGCAGAAACTTTCTGCTGTATGCTGGCAAACGCTGCAATGGATCTGCGACTTGTAAAAATAATTTTAGGGCAGTGTATCAGACAGAAAACAAAACATGGGTGACAAGTATTAGTTAGGAATTATTTAATAACTACTTAATTTGGTAGACCAGAAAGAAAAAATAAAAAACTGTTGATGTTGTGATTTGAATCCATTCTCTACCAGTTTCAAAACCACATGATTAGTTTTTGCTGCCATATACTATAAATATGTAAATTGCCATTTTGCATAATCTCCTGAATCGTCTGCTTTTCTATATTAAAATGCCATCATAAACATAATACATGTCATATTACTGTAAAAAATGCACAGTGAAAACGTTTAGGCAAATACATTTTCTTTGAAAATTTTGGCATAAAATCTTCCCATTGAGCATCCAGTTTTTGTTATCTCTCTTTGGAGATTTTTTTTTTTTAAATGAAAATTTTTTATTATGCTTTAGTGAAAGCCCCAGGCATAAGAAAAAGAAAAAATATCATACCAGTTATTCACAGTCATGGTATTCAGTCCTGATCAAGTACTGCAGTACCAAAGGATGCAATTTATTAATGATTCTTATCAAAACAGAAGTGATACCTAATCTCATTAAATAGCTAAGGCTTAAACTGAGGTTACCTCAATGAACATCAGGGAATTACAAACACATCCTGTAGGGAATGAGAGCTACTCCTCATTGTAAAAGCTACTCATGAGAAAACTGGCTCTTTAAAATGATACTATGAAATACGCAAATGCCTGGGTTGGATGATTCTACTCCTACCTTTTAGCAAGTTCCCCTTTTAAAAGTTTCTGATGCACAGAGTCATTTTGCTCTAAAGCTCATTGCCCACTCCAATGTGGGAGGCAACTCCTAGCCCAAACCAGAGAAAATGGAGGATAACAGCTCTCTAACAGTGAACTCCTCAGTTCCTCCTTATATAGCTCAGTGAGCAAATGCTGGAGCACACAAACCTCAGAAAATGAAAGTCTTGGATTTTCCCACTACTTTAAGCCCATTAAGCTTTTGCCACTGCAAGAAATCATGAAGCTCGGCTTTTTCTAGTGCTTGCTCAGTGGGCCTGTGCAAACCTCATGAAGTTCAACAAGACCAAGTACAAAATCCTGCACCTGGGTCAGGGCAACCCCAATCACAAATACAGGCTGGGTGTAGAATGGATCGTGAGCAACCCGGAGGAGAAGGACTTAGGGGTGCTGGTGGATGAGAGGCTCAACATGAGCTGGCAATGTGCACTCACAGCCCAGAAGGACAACCACATCCTGGGCTGCATCAAGAGAAGGGTGGCCAGCAGGTTGAGGAGGGTGGTTCTGCCCCTCTATTCTACTCTTGTGAGACCCCACGCAGAGTACTGCATCCAGTTCTGGGGGCCCCAACACAAGAAAGACATGGACCTGTTAGAACGAGGCCAGAGGAGGGACACGAGGATGATCAGAGGGCTGGAGCACCTCTCCTATGAGGACAGGCTGAGAGAGTTGGGGCTGTTCAGCCTGGAAAAGAGAAGGTTCCAGGTAGATCTTATAGCGGCCTTCCAGTACCTGAAGGGGCCTACAAGAAAGCTGGGGAGGGACTTTTTACAAGGGCAGGTAGTGATAGAACAAGGGGCAATAGTTATAAACTGGACAAGAGTAGACTTAGATGAGATATTAGGAAGAAATTATTTTCTATGAGGACGGTGAGACTCTGGAACAGGTTGCCCAGAGGAGTTGTAGCTGCCCCCTCTCTGGAAGTGTTCCAGGCCAGGTTGGATGAGGCTTTGAGCAGTCTGGTCTAGTGGAAGGGGCCCCTGGTCATGGTAGGGGGGTTGGAACTAGATGATCTTTAAGGTCCCTTCTGACCCAGACCATTCTGTGATTCTATGATTTTTTACATGGGTTTTATTTTATTTTGCCTATTGTCAGCAAAGGATAAACTGTGCTTCCCACCTTGAAGACAGAAATGAATTTAAAATGGACTAGCCATAAAGCTGAAAATAAACAAAAGCAAAAATCATGAAATGAAGCAAAGTGACTCAAGGAAGGTGAGTGCTTCGGCAGCAGCCTTGACTACCATGTGTGTCTTCTTGCTTTCAGGTCTCAGTCTGTGGTGGAAGCTGGCACACTGAAACATGAAGATCAGGGGGAAAGCGAGAACACCCAACCACTGCTGGCTCTGGACTGAGCTCCCACGTGCCCGACACACACAGATACACTGACAGACTTCCACCGTACCAGAAACCCACAGAGCACACAACATGCACACAAACACACGCACGCGTTTTGCTTGAGAACAAGTCCTTCATGGTTCCTGAGCAAGTCACAACTGTCACCAGCCATCTGTCCATGCAGCCAATGCTGAACAATAAATGAGAAATTTCTATGACACGGGAGTCTGCACATATACAAAGAATTTTTTTTTTTTACTTATGATATTAAACTATTGGAAATGATGGGACTGTATTCTCTGTTTAAAGAAACCAGGGTGTGTCAGTAGAAGTTTGCCTGAAGCCTCCAGCAGGGATGCTCAGTTTTATAGAGGTGAAAGTTAAATGTGTTTTAAAGATAAGCATCTCAGATTCCAACTTTGCACTGTAATCAGCAGTTTAATCTGGTTCAGAGGGACAGAAACAGCAGCATCTACAGAGTGCTCAAGTTTTACAGAAGGATTTTTGCATTAAAAAACAAAACAACAAACACCGTCAGCATAATGCCATTCAACATGACACTTTGTGACTGCCTCATCCATGCTGCTTATTGGATGGGTCACTTATTTCAGTATCTAGCAAAAATTATTCTTAACTTATGAAGCCCTTATAAAACTGTCAGCTAAGTGGAATGTGCTGTGTGGGCAGTAGACACACACAATTTGAAATGCAATGACTTAATTTTAACGGTGTATTTTTCCACACAAAACTTGGAAGCCGGGTTGGAATGTGTGTGTATGTGTGTGTGTGTGTGTGTGTGCATGTGTGAAGGGGGGTGGCCAGGGAGACCCATTGGACACATTCACAAGTGATTTATGGTTCAACTCAGATTGTTTCATTTAGGTCACAACAGTAAATGAAAGCTCTGCAGAGTCATTTACCCTCTTCCCTCCTGCAGTCAGCGAAAGGTGTAGCCAGAAGGGTATGCTGATTGCAGATGTAGGCCATGGTTAAAATGAAAAAGGAAAACTTAAGAGTTAATTATTCAGTACAAGCTTCTGCTAGAAGGAAATGTGGAAGAATAGAAGAACTGAAATGCCAAAGATCAGTTTGTTATTCCTCTCTTTGCTGTAGCTGCAAAAAGACTCCCATCCTTTCACTGAAATGGAAACCAGATTAAAGAAATTAAAGAAATAAAAGAAAAGTCATTAACAAATTGCATGTGCAGTGACTTTATTTCCTAAAATTGTTATAACCACTGTACGCACCTTTAGTCTTTAATTAAACTGCCATACATTGACAATTTATTAGAACAAGCAGCTGGCAACAACATATCAAAGGTAGCTGTGTAAACCATATATAAAATGAGATGATAATGGGCACAAGAGTTTTTAATGTGCCTCTGGAAGATCCACTGAATTCATAAGCAATACACTGAAGTGATCATATAGTTCAACTGGACATGGTCAGCCCTAATAGACTGATTAACAAAATACTGCCTTCATCTACAACTACATTTTATGCCTGCACATGGCAGAAAGGACATCCTGACAGATCCTACTGATACACCTGGGATTTACCTGCTAATATTTGTACAGAATAGCCTCATTCAGACTAACCTTCTGCAGCGGTATGTCATTGATACAAAGCCTGGCCTCCATGACACGGAGCTAGTCTTTAAAGCAGTGGATGGTCCCAGCAAAGCAACACAGGAGTCAGAAAAAAGCAGAAACTTGCAGGAACATTAAACAAACAGGATGACTGAGCCATTCTGTGTCCAGTTCTGGGCTCCCCAGTTCAAGAAAGACAGGGATCTTCTAGACAGAGTCCAGTGGAGGGCCACAAAGATGATGAGGGGCCTGGAGCATCTCCCATATGAGGAAAGGCTGAGAGAGCTGGGACTCTTCAGTCT